AACAACAACAACAAATTCTGGCAGTATTCTGACCATGTTCTGAAAATGTGAGTGAGGCTGAATCAAAGCAGTGCACAATTTATTTACAGAGAAAATTCAAGACTGCACAGCATTTGGGATATGACATGGTGAAGAAGAGGGAGTCATGAGTGCCTATGCTGAGCTAGGTTTATGTTTATGTACTCTGAGACACAAGTTCATGGCTGGTCTTCTGTTCTTAGAGTGGATATTCCCTCCTCAGTTAACATAATCAGGATAATCCCACAGAGGGGTGGCCAGAAGCTGAACTAAAAACTAAGTCATCCCTCACAGATGTGCCTGGAGGTTTTCTCCTAGATGATCTTGTTGAGCTGACAATCAAAATTAACCACCACAGCTCTATTTTTTGTCAGCTTCACCTCAGAACACATCACCTTTGAGCCATAACTTTCCAACTCTTATCTCCATGTTCTGATAGGAATTAGTCGATGGAGTTACACAAATAATTTAAAAGTCCAGAATCCAAGGTTCATCTGAGACTCAAGGGAGTCTCTTTTTTCCCCAGTGCCCTGTGAAATACTTCTTTATTTTGAAAATCAATAAAATATGTCAACAATGCTTTTCCCTTCATAATTCAAACTTTTATATAATAAACTAGATGTTTTACTTCTAGTATTCAAGAGAACAGAATAAATGTTCCTATTTTAAAAGAGAAGTGTGGGGATATAAGAACAAATGACTGTACCTATGTAGGACTGAACCTCAGAAATGAAAACATTTAATACTGAAGGTCCATGTCTGGCATCTGGGGCTCATAATGGAATCTTCTAAGCACTAAAAAATTAAGTAGTCTTTAAATATCTTTGTTCATGGCCATAGGATAGTGATGCTGTCAGCCTTAATATCTTAAAAAAATCTTTTTTGTATTTAGTGAGCAGTCATTGAAGACTCACAATTGTCAAAGTAAGTGACTGTTCAGTATTTTTCTCCAAGGGAAATGTCTCTGTCACCCCCTTCCAGGTTACAGAAACATCATGGAAAAGGGGAAGAAAGGTCTAGAAGAAGTGGTGGGAAAATGTGTGATTCCATCTTACAGACATGCATTGGACTATGAACTTTCATCAGCTGTGATTACCTGCATAAGACTTGCCAATGTTATGCCAGTCAATATACCGTCTGTGAGGGTAGATGGTGTATTTTTGTTAAAATGGTGGGAGAGAGGCCTTGGTGGGTTTGAGCCAATGTGTTCCATGGTAGGTGAGGGAGATATGCCATGTAGACATGGCCAAAGCAGGCAAGGGTGCAGGGCAGAAAGTCACTCACACCGTGCAGACACAGAACCCACATGGAATGCTTTATTGGAGGAAAGTGAGAAGGGGAAAGAGAGAGAGAGAGGAAGGGAGAGAGAGAGAGAGAGAGAGAGAGAGAGAGAGAGAGAGAGATTGAAAAGAGGGTAGAGAGTCAGGAAAGGAGAGAAGAGAGATTTGAGAGACAGAGACACAAAGAGAGAGAGATAGAGGTATGTGTGCCTTTTTTACAAGGGAAAGGAAGGAAGAGAGAGATAGAAAGGGGATTTTCTCTTAAAGAAGACTTTACATAAGATGATATTGTCAGGATGCTGGGCGGGTCCGAAAGGGGCATGTCTGAATGCTAACATTAGTGAGAGAAGAGCTCATGAGCCCCATCTCCATTTCACAACCTGTATGTAGTCAGTCATTGTTAGTGCACAGGGGCTCATAAAGCCATGCTCCTTCCTGAGGATATTTTGGCAGCTAATGGTTGCTGAGAGAGAAATAGACATTTTTTCAGTCATGTACCCACATCTAAGTGGTTCATGTTCCTGTAGGTAAATCCTTAATATGTTTCTGTAAATGACCTAAACTAGACAAATTAGATCACAAAAAAGAAGATACAAAAAGAGAGGCTAGGATACTAGAAAGTAGAAATAGGACTAGTTAGAAGGATACGAATATCATTAGGTTTGGTAATAATGAGGGGGTATGAATAAATCAATGTATTATATGCATGTAAAAAATTTCAGACATAATGCAATATGTATAACTTATATATCCTAATAAAAAGTTTAAAAGTGAAAGAAATCATCAATGAAGTGTTTTTCTTTTTCGTTTGTTTGTTTTTACAAAGTCTTCTTTGAATGAAAGAACTGTATTTAATGATTTAATGATGGCACATTGTTTCCTGGGTATTAACTCATACACATATCAAGCTTGTATTTACTTTATGTCATAAGAAGCTTGCATTATGCTTACCTCCATGGTCAGTGCACCTCCAGAATTCTTCA